CAAGATTCCTATAAGTCATTTAGGGTTAAAGGTTAAGCTTGTATGGCAGTTCATTGCGAATGGTACATACACTGTGAGATCTGCCTATGAGGCCATTCTTGCAAATTAAAATTTTTACCAGCTGCAGGTGGGGTCAAGTAGTCATAGAGAATGCTGAAAAAGAGTTGGAGAATTCATGTTAAATTGAAAATGGAAACCTTTTTGTGGATGTGAAATAATGGGTTTCTTGGCACAAATGCACAATATCATGCGAGAGGTTTGGAAGTTGATCTTACTTGTGGTTTTTGTGGTGAGGCTGATGAGGACTTAGAACATGTTATGTTTCATAGCTCTGGGTTGTAATACATTAGATGTTGGTAGAGATTCAGTGGACAACACTTCAAAACAAGAACATCTCTTATCAGACCTGGTGGAAAGAAGTTTTCAATGCTGATGATACTTAAAAGTGCATGAGGGACATGATCAACCTATTACCTACTTGATGTGGTGGCTTTGGCGCACCATAAATAATTTGCTTTTTAGACATAATTACATGGCAGAACATCGGGAGGTGGAAGGAGCTTTGAAAAATGTGGGAATTCAACTTCTTGATGAAACCTAAGCCTGAAGTACAACCTAAGCTTTTGAAAAACACCAACCTAAATGAAGATCATTTTTCCTAGGGAGTAGGACAGTACATCTTAAATGTTAGTGTTCATGTTGCTTCAAGGGGAAGGGTCTGTCTTGGCGGTACGGTTAGAGTGATGAAGCTTTTCAGCATGAACGAACTAGACCTTGACATTGGGCTGTTAATCTAGAGGAGGCCACTTTGGTAGCTGTCAGATGGATGTTCCAAGAAGCTCTTCAAAGGGTATTCGTTAACATTGTTTGCCTTCAAAACCTGAAGAGGGTCATTGAGCTGCTGAACAACTCCAATTCAGAGGGCTTAATGTTGGTCTGGATATTTGTGCTCTAAAAAAGTCATTTTCTACTTGTAGTTTTAGTTTAAACACATCTTCTTGTCTTGGTAGTTTTTTTTTGTTTTTTTTTTCCTGAACGATAGATAATATTATAAATCAAAATGTACAAATGTGCGGATACACAACAGCCAACAGCTGAATACACAACATCCAACAGCTGAAAGTGGGAGGATAGGTCAGAAGACCGCCTAGAATCCCGGTGATGGTTCTCCTCCTAGATCTGGAGTGAACCGGTGGAAATGAGCTCCGGTCTGTTCGAATCGTCTCCAAGTCGCCCGTGGACCGCTGTGAACACCTGCAAGAACTCAACACTGAAAGTGTTTTCCGGTGAAGAGCCTCCGACGCTCAAGTCAGTGAATGAGGAGAGGAGGAGCTCTGCTCAGTAGGAGCAGCAGTTGAATAATGAATGAGGAGAATAATGGTTAGGGTTTGGAGTCACCTCTACTCCTTTATATAAGGGTAGAAATGCTCACTGGAAATACCTGAAATGCCCTAGCCGACTTACATGAAGTGTCCAAAATGCCCTGGTCGCTTCACATTCTGCCCACTCTCTGAGTCAGCACCTAGATTCCTTCTTATCTCGTATAGATTCTCTAGCTCAGGAAACCCTGCTTCGACATTGAGGTAAATGTGAGTCGCCAGAAGTACTCTAAGTCGATTCGGAGCCTTGTCGAGTCGACTTATGGTCCTGTCAGTATATCTGAGGTTCTTAGAATGTTCATTCGCCTTCTAGCGCATAAGTCGACCGAAACCAAGTCGACTTCCTAAAGTCGTCTTTTGATCGTCCTTAGACCAGTGGTGATCCTTATATGATTGATAGGCCATGTCGACTTTGGAGGTATCGTCTTGATGATATTCTTGGCATCGTGAGTCGAGTAACTAACGCCTGAATCGGGCTATGACAATAGGGCTATATCATCTAGTCCCCCCAAAGAATTACTCTAAGCGACTTAGAGCTTAAGAGTAAGTTTAGTAATTGGGCCTTCCTTTTTCTTTCGTTGGTGAGTCATCTCGTCTTTACTCTCAAATCGTCTCGTCGGCGACTCCTGTGATTCGACTAGGACGCTTATGGTTTAACTTTATTACTTAAGAACTTTTTCTCAGCATATCCACTATCATTATTTCGAATTTCGAATTTTTGAATTGGGACCTGACACGCCGCCTCATCTTTTCTTTTGCCGCTTTGAATTCTGTGCCACATCTGAACCGTTGATTTTTACTTTAATCCAACGGCCAGGGTTCCGCAGTTCATCCTATAAGTATTTTCTTCTTCCTCCCCTTCACACTTTTCGCACTCAAGGATTCTCGAGCTTTCTCTTCTCTTCCGGCAATAAAGCATCCAGCGATTCCAGCGTGCACCTCCTTCCGGCTACTTCTCCAGCACTTTCTGAACTTCTTACTCCCATCAATATGTGTAAGGTTCCCTTATCCTTTATTTCTGAAAGATTTTTGTGCCTATTTTCTGGGTTTATGATTTTGGAGTTCTATGTATGTTCTTTGTGTTCTTGAGGATCTTTGAACGATTCTAGATGTATTAGTGCTAGATCTTAAAACATGCTTTTTCTGATTTAAGATTATGTTTATGAGAAAGTCACCTTTTCGAGGCGTAGTCGACTTTATCTTCTTCGCGCGTCGACCTCTGTCGACCTTGGTATTCCCCGTTCCTTCTTTGCTATCGACTCTCGTCTTCTGACGAGTCCATGTTGGGCTCGGGCCTTTTTTCTTTGCCACAATCCTTGTGGCCCAAGCAGTTTCCCTTGAGGTCGACTTTATGGCTAGAAGCCTTCACATACCGACGTACTCTATCGACTTCTTTCACTTTTATACTGATCTTCGTTTCTCGACTCTTTCTCATAGATTCCGGGTCCGACTGTGTTTCTGGCTCTATTCCTGGCTCTCTCGTCCGTCAAATAGAAGAATATTCAAGCTCCGATTCTGTCGAAATAATTGGCTCTAAACCTGCAGTCGAGCGAGAGAGGTCACAGGGTTCATCCACGTCGATTTTTGGAATAGAACACAACGTATATAACCAAGCACTTTTGTCGGGTGAGTTGATGCAAAATAAAGACGATCCTAATCGAGGTAGCGACTCTCCTCGACTAAACCTTCTTCCCCAAGGTATTCCCCTTAGGCTCTTAGATATTCCTGTATATAGGACGAGCCCCATTTCTTTGTCAATAACGCCTTCCTTTCTTAAGTCTCGAGATGTAACCATAGCTTGTCCTTTAGCCAAGTTAGCTGTTCTAAATCCATTTTCTTATCCCTGAGCAGAGGGCCGACACGTCCAAGCGCCTCAAGAGTAAGGACAAGGGGAAAGCAGTCGAAGCTCCCCGTTCTCCTGGCGCCCTCGAGACAGTCACACTCGAGAGGCCCTGCCAACTCTGGAACCATCCCCATCCGCATGTGATTGCCAAATACTTTGACTCGGTTATCCCTGCGACTGACAAGGCTCGTGCTGACCGCGACCCTTACGACCGTGCCGGCCGTGCTCTCCTATGCTTCTCTCGAGTGAGTGTTCTTCAACTTTTATCCCTTGGTGTATTTTCCTTATCCTCGTTTTTATCTTACTGACTTTTCTACACCTTCCTTCCAGTTTATGGCATATATAATGCCTACCCTTCTCGAGGAGTCCAGCTCGCCTAACTCCAATGTTCATGCTTATAAGAAGAAGTGCGCGGAGCAGCTCCATGAACTCGAGGAGAAGAATGACGACTTCGTGGCGACCCATGCCCTCATTGCGAAGCTCAAATCTGAGAAGTCCGCCGCCCTTTCCAAGGTCGATCAGCTGCGAGCCGACCTTGCTAAGGCCACCGAGGACAACGTGGCCGAGAGGGAGATCGGGAAGGAAGAATGACGCAAATCTTTCCTCAAGTCACCGATGGGCTCCATCTTCCTCGAAGCTTATCGTAAGGAGGTCGTCAGGGCGTTCTGCAACTCTCCTGCTTTCCTCGAGAAGCTGTGCCCGGCCACCCTTCAATACTTTAACTTTACATTTGATGCATAGGAGTCGGCTGTTAAAGGCACCGCCCTCGAGGGAAAAGTCGACCGTCAAGCGCTCAAGGAGTTGCTCCCTCTCCCGCTTGGCTATCGCGGCGATGCATCACTTCCCGACTACTATCCCTGGTGGTCGGGTCTTGAGGCTCGGGTGATTCGAAAGGCTAGCCTTGGTGCTCAGCTTGAGGTTCCTCCTACCCCCTGGTCGGGCCAGTTGATTTAATCGAGCCGAGCGGAGCAGATG